TCATATAGTATTCATTTTTCATAAAATTGTATATCCTTAAGAAATGTAATCTGAATTCCTTTGTTAATTGAAATGGTTAGTCCAAAAATCTAACTTTCCCTGCAGTCTTTTATTATGAAACGTCAGACCGGAAGTGCGGATCTTAGCTTAGCTAGCTTCAGAGAAGCGCTCGAGGTGGAGGCAGTCAGCCTGCGACGGAAAACAAGCGAGGACAGCTCTGGCACTACATCCTCAGACCGTGTTTTAAAAGAGGAGAATTTAGTTAAAGTGGAGAATAGGTGGATGTGAGTGGGCTCTGCGGGACTTTCACAGGGACTCGGTTACTTATTGTGTGGCTCTCTCTCGGGCTGCGGTGTGTTGAGCGTGTCGCTGTTCGCCCGTTCTCAGTGGACTGTACACTAAGGTAAGCGCCTGCAAACATAAAATGATTTATTTTAAGTTACTGCTTTGGAACTGGCTACTTTATTCACTCTCCGTGCTGTAGTGTGGTCTTCCTTTGAAGAGAGTGGAAAGTGTAGTAAAAGTTGGGACAAAGACGGCAGCCTGCTGGTGTCACTTTCACGCTTTGACGCCTGCTCTTTGTCCACTCAGATGTGGTGGAACCACACATCTAGCTCAAACCTCAACATACCACCCATTTTCCTCCACATCATCCGGGTTTTTTTCTGCATCTGTTGCTAAAACAATGATCTACGGTTTACTTTTATCCACATAACAATTTCTCCCATGGTTTTTGTTCGGGGGCCACTTCATAAAGGCCTGCGTTTGAAGGGCCACAATCTACCAACATGTCCTGAGAAATCTGTGTGTGGTGAAACATCTGTTGGTTGCTAATAACTTTACACACATTAGTCGTTTATATTCGATTTAAACAGAGGTTTTTCCATTCATTCAATTATAATGCAGCCTGTTTTACACAATGACCCTTTGGAAAACACTGGGACTGGTGTCACATGCCCAGTTTATCAATGGTTCTAGTGGTTTTCAATGGGAACTGCACCACACTCCCCTCTGTTTACACATCCAAGCAATCATTTCCACTGTTGATCTGAACCTGGATTAAAATAATTCCAATCTGAATCTAAACGCCTGACCACTCCGGTTGCACATGACTTCTTAATCTCCTTTCCGTTTGACACTGACTGTGTATAGAGAGGCTCTGACTAGGCTGGGTGAACAGATCTGCTTCTGTCTCTGTGCTTTAAACAAATTAAAACAATTACCTACATTTGACTTGGATAGATTATGAAAAGTTATTTAAAAAATAAATGATAAAACAGCAGGTGCATTCTATAAAGCAAAGCCTCACTTAAGAGTCTGTGCAGCAACTCAAATATTAAAAACATAGTGAGATCTATGTCTAAAGAAAAGAAAAACACAATAATTTATGCTATGAAATGGTTTATATGCTGACAGAGGCAATAAAAGGGGATTCTCGGAGAGAGATCTAGGGATTTTATCAAAGTTTTCTTTCTTTTTTTTCCATAAAAAGCCTTTACCTGATCTGTCTGCCCCTTGTTATTTTTTTTTGTTGTGAGGCTGAAAGAGGATCACTATTATACCATATCCGTTTTTTTTTTCAAGGAGATTGTTAAACTGCGCTTTCTGCCCCTCGTTTTTGAGGGTCACTATTTTATCCGTTTTCTGTCCTCCTAAACTCCTATCATGGCTAAAGTATTTTTTTTTTTATGTTTCAATCATTGTTTTTGCACGATTCTGTTCCGGCAAGAGAATTACAGCTTAATACTCGTAATTTTAGGACTTTATTCTCATAATATTATGACTCTATTCTTGTAATGTTGCGACTTTGTCCTTATAAGTTTACGACTTTATTCTCGCAAATTACAACTCAATTCTTGTAATGTTACAGCTTTATTCTTGTAATTTTATGACTTTATTCTACTTCCCACTTTTTTCAAGTAATTTTATAACTTTATTCTCATAATATTACGACTTTATTCTTAAATTCAAAAGCCCTCTAGCCTGGCCCTCATACTTTCGGAGCTAGGTTATGGAGGACCAATCCTGCCATAATTAGAAATACATGCAGAAATAAAGAAAGGACTTAATAATATAAATTTACGATTTTCTGTCCGATCGGATGCAAAATCTGATTAGGTGTGTTCTGGCCTTAAGATCATGCGTGTATGTATTGAAAATTAATAGAGTCTTTGAAAATGTGAAATCCAATTTGCATTCAGACGTTGGAAAGGTTGTGATGCAAATAAAATAAATGCCTTATTTGATAATAAAATGTGTATTGCCTAGAGATATTTTCTTTGCTTTAAGTCATTAAAATAAATCAGTTTATGGACTTCTAACAGAATTCCTGTTACAATATTTTTTTTTTTCCCAGTTTGCAAGTTTAAAACCGGTTAAAGACAATGTGTTCATTTTCGACTTGTGTTATAAGAAAGTTCTGAGTTAAAGTTTAAAAATGAAATGTCATGTTTAATAAAACTGAGAATACTCTGATCAGATAACGGCTCCAATATTGAATAATTAGCCAGATTGGATATCAGATCAATTACATGGATCCTGGGTCTCAATCCAGTCATTTCTATTTTCGATATCATACAGAACAATGCAGTTACACAATTATGGTGACTGAAATTTTATGGTTGTTACTGTGATTACATCAATTCCCAGAGCACATGCTTGTGATGATTTATTTCTGTGGAAATTTGTCACCTTTTTTTTCACCAGGGTTTATGTTGAGTTGATACCTTTTTTTTTTTTTTACATAGGGTATGCGTTTAATTCATTTAACTCTGCTCCCTGGGTGCTGCACATAGGCAGCCCACTGCTCCCCAAGGGGGATGGGTTAAATGCAGAGGTAAATTTCTCCAGTGTGACATCAATAAAGTTAAATTGTTATTATTATTAGTCAGCGCATCACTTATTAAACGTTTCAGGTTTTTCGGTTTTTCATTAAAAGTGAAAAGAGTGCAATTAAATTCATTTTGAACCTTTTGTGTTTGCAACAAGGACTTTGATGCGTTCACAAAATCGATTTAATAGCTTCTTTCTTTGTTCGCTAATTTCTAGTCATCGGTAAAAACAATGCTCAAGTTCTACCCCACTAGGTTAATGTTGATTCAACTCAATAACATACAGGATGTAATGAAGGCCACAGTGTTTTTAGGCCATTGTATCACCTCAACTCCAAGCATGTTGCTGTGAACGCAGGCTAAAGTTAGCTTCTTACTCCTGATACTGGTTCCTATAGCCAAAACAAGTTTTTAGGGCATTAGTGGCTTTTTTTTTCTACAGCAGGTTGACAGGAAAGGGGGTATGAGAGAGGGGAAAGGAATGCGGAAACCACCCATAAGGGGGTGCACCCCTCAGTTTGAGAACCTCAATGAATGGGCCACTGCATCCATATATCGGCCGATACCGATATGTGAAAAAAAAAAACGCTAATATTAGCCAAATCAAATTACAAAATCCCACACCTAACAAATTTACAGCTCCTGATAGGGTGTAACTTTACAAGTCAGAATTCTTACATACATTGAACGCATCATAAGGCAAAGGGGTTTTAGAGGCCCATTCCCGATCCAGGCCCTAACCACTAACCCTTCACTATCAAGTGTCACTCCCAGGGAAGTCTCACTCACAGCTGTGGAAGACACCTTGATTGAAGGTGGGGGGGGATGCACGAGAATGGGATGGCTTCTTCCCTCCAACAGAAAAGGAAATAAGTCGTTGCTATGGCAACACAGTGGCGCCCCGTGTGCGTGGCTGTAGCTCTGTGGCGCAGGTTAACATAGCATAAACATTTGCCCCTTTCTTAAATCAAATGTATACAGTCAAATAAAACTATTTCAAAAAGGACCTTCCATTTTGGAATTTATTACGTTTTTTTTTATTTTTTTTATAAACCAACTTGTGATTTTCTATCGGTGTGACAAAGATGCAGCAAACCAGCAGAATTTACATTTGGAGGAACGTGTCTCTTCCGCCATCAGGCTGCTGTTACACCTGCTGCCGAATTCCAGTGAGTCTGCAGCTGATGCAGACCCGCTATTTAATAGCGGAACTGTCCACTGGACCTACCCACTGCGTGGTTTGTGATGGCACTTAATGTGGCGGACCCTCCGCAGTAACGCACAAACGGAGGGTTAGTGCTCAGAGTTAGTGTTTAGGGGCCAGTTTGGGATTAGGCCTGAGTCTGCAATCCTAAAATGGATGGACTATTCTGTAGCTCTATCAACAATCAAATATTTGTAGGGTACAAAAAAGCCTCCAAAAACTGGTTGATGTTATATGCATAGATTCTGAGGAATGTATGTATTGCAGTTATAATTAATTCATTAGCATATTTTCTGAATTGTTATAAAGTCTAACTCCTGGTTTGCATTGTTAATGAAGGGGTTACAGGTGCAAGAGAGCGTTATATTCCTATATTTAGTAAAACTTTCATGGCACACCCATAATGTAGACGCACCCTCTGACTGCTCTGTACTATTATTTACAGATTAAGATAAGGTTTACTTAGCTGTGACTGGTGCGTGAACGGCAACAGCACGTCCTGGACTCTTAGACCTGAATGACAGAAACTGCTGTTACATCACGACAAACCGGGAAACTGAATGCTTAACATTTTAATCATTTCAGAAAGCTGAGTAAAGGTGCAAAGGTTGCAGGTGACGGGGCAATTTGGCTCTAACAGTAAGCATGGCTTGTTTATTCACTTCCCTAACCCCCCAACCCCCACCTCTTTAAATGTCTCAGGATGCCTCTGAACCTCTTTTTAAAGGCACTTCAGAATATGAATTGTCTTAAAAAAATTTGTATCATTGTATAGGTTTACTACTTTTTTATATATATATTTCTACATTTTTTTTTAGCCATTTCATTTTGTATTATTTTTAATGACAAATGATTCAGACATCCTACTTTGATTAAACAACTCCCTGATTTCTGGGTGATTCTCTAACATCTTCCACTGTGAAGAGTTTTAAATTTTTTTTATAGATTTGTTTAATAATTTTTGTTTCATAATAATAACAACAACAACATAACAACAGAAAAGAAAACATAAGATAGGGGGCATACATATTTTCATCATTATAGAGTCCAACTCTAAGCATTTATAAATGCTTGAGACAGGATGGTAGACCTGTCCTTCAGCATAGTCCAGGAAGGGCTTCCATACGCGTCCAAAAGTGTCAGTCTTAAAGTCGAGAGGGAAATATTCCAAAATAAGCGTCTTCCACACAAAATAAGTAAGAGATTTATTAGAAATCCATTGTAACAAAATATTCTTTCGAGCACAAAAGACTTGTGGTAATGTTATCACACGCATCACTTAATCGCTTCACAGGTGATTAATGAACAACGAAGCACTTTGATAATGCTTTGTTTGCCATTTTCTCTTTTTCGCATTTTTATGTGTTG